ACACTCGGTTCTCCTCGACAGTGTCGAACGCCTAATTTTAATCAACGAAGGCTATGCACAGACGGAGCTGGATTTCCCTCACGCGGTGAGGAGTTGGCTTACGGTACGCATTTTACGGTCTGTTGTGCTGTAGCTCCTTGGGAATCCTGCCTATTCGCGTAGCTGCTGTTCGTTCAGACTTGTTGACAGTTCTTTTGTTGGTCTTAGTGAACCGCTTGTAGACGTGAGAGCAGATTGATTAGGCGATATTTCTTCATTCTTGTTGGACAAAACAGTTGTTTTTGACTCCTTGCTTGATGGTCTTTTCCGTTTCCACTAACTGAACCTTTTCGCGACGTATAACCACCTACTCTAATGATTTCAGTTGTCTCTCCGCCTTTCCCTGAGGTTGTTCCTTCCTTCATTTTCTGCGAGGCATGCTGACCTTCGCTTGAGGTTTGGACGTGCACTTCCTGCTGACTGTTGGAGCGATAGTGGGATGGGAGAGTTGGAACATTTATTTGGTGCAGAGCTGGGTGTAAAAGTTCTTGCAAATATACTGCATTTCAACTCTACCAGACGTTATTGCGCCATCTCCGTTCTTCAACGCCGTGATGGTCGACTGGTAAAGGGCTCCCTCTCCAGGAATAGATCAAGCGTATTTCGTTAGATCTTCGATTCGTTCTTTCATTAAATCATTTGTAATGGGTTAATTACATAGTTTATATTAAAGGGTTAATTAATTTATTAAATTTAAATTTATTGCTTAGATCGACTGAACATTTTCCCTGCATACATAACCTAGTGTTATCAATGATGCTGATGATATCGCTTATTAAAAATTTAGATTCAGGTTGTTTACAGGGTGCAATAACGTCATTACCTGTATTTTAGCTGGTTATTCAAATGCAAGACGAAAATCTACAAAAAATTGGTAACAGTGTGCATGTTTTGAAAAACATTAGCCAGAAGATCGGAAACGAATTGGACGAACAAGCGGTGTATGATTGATTAACTGCCCTATGATGATCGGTAAATCACACTTGTTTCTGTAGGGCTTTGGATGACTTAGATCAAGAAATGACGAACACGCACCTTCGGCTAAACAATGTCATGAAGAAATTGGCGCAGGCTGCTCACATATCAACTGGTATTTTATGAGAAATCAGTGTCTTTTACTTACTTAACTTTTAGGAAAAAGGCAGTGCTATGCGATATTGGTCTTGGTTTTGTTGCTCCTAATTATAATTATACTTTTTATTGTTTTGTGATGGCAGATAAACTTCTGAGTCATAATACTGTTTCAAGAAATATATTGAAATGGCTGTGGAAATGCGATTTCGGTGTGCATTTAGCTTCACTTCACTAGCCAAACAAACGGCGTCAAACTTTTGCCCAAACATAAATACGATAGTACACATACTAAATAAATAATTAAATAAAACTGAGAAAGAGCATTTTTAGAGCTCTTACCAATGACTTTTAGGATATTACTGACATCGCCTGACAGAGTAAGATAAACGCTTTTTAACACGCAATCCGGCTTGCGAACCGTGTTTCAGACATTTTCGCTGTAGCATACAAAAACTGTTAGTTCCAGATACATGGATCATGACGAAAGATAGATTGGTTTAGCGAATAAAATTATGCGAGATGTTTCTGGAGCTGCAGATTCTCAAAGAACATGAAGTCGCGACCTGTGAAATGACCCCTATACATCTAGGAGAAATAGGTCGATGCAATACGCCATGAAATCCACTTCTGGGGGACTGACGCTTATATTTACTTATCGGTTGCAGTACAACGTTAGCACCTTCAGAGAATCGCTTTCCGCTAAATTGTCTTTTCGTTGTCCATCAATCAGAGTAGTTTCATTCTTCGTATTTTACCTTTGGGGCTTGTTATTTGTGCCCTACAGTGGAGTGTCACAGAAGACTGGTAAAGAATCGTCGAACAGACTAATGGATCGGTCTTAAGCAAAAACGCTCTTCAGAAACAAGCATATTTGAACAAAATTTATACTTTCGCTGTCTCGAGCATAAATTTGGCATTAAAATGCTGAATGATTTTACTCAGAAAGGTCAGAAAGAAGATCGGCATATTTTGTGGACAACACTGCACAACTAACAACACTGAATATCGTTAACGCCCTGGGGAATTCAGCAGCGTATAAGATATGAGGCTACATTGTTCGTGTTATGATCTACCATCTGAACGCAATATGACAAAACAAAAGAATCTGTCCCCTTACTGTACAGAGTATTCCTTTCTTAACCAAAACAGTAGCAAAGTCTTACTATTGTTGGACCTCGTATCTTAGTTCTACACAACTGCAAATGATTTTACTCCCAATCTTGGAACACTAATGAAAACTTAAGTAGCAATATTAAAGTTGTGCAAAATTAGATCGTTGTGACGACGACGGTTTCGTCAGTAAATCGAAAGTGGTGCAAAGTCGCATTACGATCAACAAACAGCAGCAAAACATTCTTTTTCGCGAACTGTTAGTTATTAAGCGCTCTCGCTAACATTTACCAAAACAACTAATTAGAAATCAGAAAACAATAGCCATCGAAAATCAGGCACCAAAAACATCTGGCAGCAACCGACTGCGCTCAGAATCATAACAATAAACAAAAACTAACAATCCAACGAGCCTAGCGTTTACTTCAGACCGCGATTTTCCATCGGCTTTACGCGATAAATTCTGACCAACCAGTGCTCGGTCGTGTAGATTTCCTCCAAATAGTCAAGTTCGAAATCTTTGCTACCAATTTCAGCGTTTCTCACGCGATCATAACCGCTAGCGCGACCTGTCGATTCAGCGTTAGAAACAATATCGTCAGTGGTTGCACTTCTTACCCTTCTCAGAGTAAACTTCGCCAAATCTGTAGTAGGAAAGTTTGTACATCAACGAGTTAAGCATTACCGGTGACGCTTCCTTATCGATTCGATATTCACCGGTTGATGAAAAATAATCTTGCTCCTTGATGTGTTTGCCCTTCTCCGTCGAACCGCCAATGCGGACCATCCACAAAAACTTGTTTATGTCTAACAATGAAAAATTGAATTCGCTATAACGGAGACAGAAGAAAAAAAATACCATCGGAAGAATAGCCGGTCATTCCGCCAAATATCACCAAAACGTAATCCACGTCCAGTTCACGCATAATCTCATAAGCCTTTTCCTCAGTCGATGCCATCGCCTCAAATGACTTCCTCAATAACCTTGAGCGCCCACAAAAACTTGAGTTAACTATGCTTAAACTGACCAATCTTGGACAATATACAAAGAAGTACAAATTAGCCTGGTTAAATAAATGTCAAATTCTCCGCTCTCTAATGATTTTACCTGACCAACTCGAGAGATGTGTGTGTTATTCCAAGTGTTGTTGTCCACCAAAACCGTTCTGTTCGCCATAGCCGTAATTTGATATCCGTAATCCCACCAAGACATAATTCTAGCATCCTATAAATTGCATATTATATTGAAACAATGAAAGCAAGTATTTAGTAAATATCATAAACCATAAACTGCCCTGACTCAAGCTAAATCAAGTCTGACGACAAAGCCATCTGTGTTAATTTTCGTTTTGATGCCCACCTGCGACCATCCATTAGGCATGGATAATGACCGAGAAAACAAGATCACGTCGCGTCTACGCGAAATGGACTTTCTGATGAAAGTAGGGCCAACGCGTTTCGACTGAATTATTAGAACATGGAGACAGGAAACCTCGTGGAACTACGCTGTTACTTCTAACGAGTGGAAGGGCACAATCACAGTGCTTTGTGCATGTCATGTGAATGCCACCAGATCCGATGATAATGAATCCATTGCCTCAAGATGCCTTGTGTCAGACTTAGTACATCGCTTGCCTGACGCTGCTGCCATCGCGACCTGTACGGACAAGTGGCGTCTGAAAGTGACTGGCGAGCCGCATGGGCTTACGATGGTAAGCTTGAACGACAAATCGGTATTCTCACCTGTGCAGTGTTCTGACGAAGCCAGTAGTAAGCCTCGCGGAAGTCGTCGAAGATGATTCGGGAGTTGTCACCGCCATGCGCCGAAAGAACGATGCTGGGTGAACTATAGCCCTCGGACGTGACCCACGTACAGT